AGCTCATTGTATTTAGGCAGGATATCTCATTTGCTGTTGATCTTGGTAAAGATGCAGTACCGCGCCCACACGCAACCACTAAATTGGTTTTAACGACGTACCCTGAAGGTAATACGAGGGCAAATCCTAACGTATCTCGAGTGGATCCAACCCCCTTGATCCTCGAAATAATGCTTGCCTTATTGTTATGCTAACGTAGGTTACTTATCAAACCCGCATAAGGCAAAATCCCCAAATGGTTATATCTTTACCATTAGGGATATCACAATATCTTGGAGGTTCACGATATGACCTTAGTTGCGAAATCTTCGAATCGTTCTAAGACTTACCTCACTTCACTACACCATAAGTAAGATATGGTCAAAAGGTCTTGTTGAGCATATTTGAAGTACTTGCTGTGTTTTCATCCATCGTTGAGTCCCAACAATGATCTATGAAGATTATGCCACATGTATCCACCTGACCAAGCCATGATACATCAACGAAGTGAACACCAAGACAAATTATGTTCACATCTACATCAGTAAAGCATCAGGAGATTGAAGTCATGCAAGCCGATCCTAGATAACCTTGTCGACCTCTACACGAAGTGACTGCCAAAGTCAACCTTCTAGAAGTTTGTTCGAGGAATTGGTATGCCTAACTATCATATGCAATGCTTGTAGTTCTCATTTGGAAATTATATCAAACTCAAGGGAAGTATCCAGAAGTGTACTCACTTGATCTTAATGTACTATTTTTCCCTATAATTTAGAGTATTTTTTCCATTGGATTTTGTTACCTAACTAGGTTTTAACAAGGCACTCATCCTGGGCTGATCATACCCTTATGAGCTCTTCTACTTGCGTCCAAAAGATGCATAGTTTTGACGTAATGCAACTTCTCACTTTCCTCCTTAGTCTATGGGTTTTACCATAACGAGGTTTTGTGAGTTTTACTTTTTTATGCATTCTTCTGTTGATTTGAGACTCGCATTCCCTCATTGTGTCGACGACTTTATCAACTGTACTTACTTCATTATTGAAGACTTGATAGGAATATCTTTTATATTGGAATAGGAAGCAAATCCTAACATATCTAGGGATATCTTTTATATTCCCTTTATTAGTTAATATCCTATTAAGAGTTGTAATCCTAAAAGGGTAAGGAATTAACCTTCCATACTACTGTAAATAAAGGCATAATGGGATGGAATAGAACACACCCACAATTACACATCTCTCTCTTCTTCTCTTTATGCCGCACCTTCTCTCTCTATATGGCCTCCATAATTGTTCAGTAAATTATGCCTACAACCAAGGATTAAAATATCGACCGTGCAGATAATATCGGGCCTCCAATTTACTGATATTTCGGGGAATATATCGTTATCGTTTTAGGTATCGGGAAAAAATCAACAAAAATGACAAATATAGGCATTGAAACACATAATTTTGGTCTAAAACTTTCATAGATGTTATGTACATTATCAATGAATGTATTGAACAAATAAAACTCAAAATTTACTAATAATAAGATATACATATGATGAAATATAAGTGGTATGTAATGCGCGTTAACGAAAAGTTTTCTAATAAAATGTTTATTAGAATGAATAAACCATGCATAAATCCATAGTTTGTTTAAACATTAGATTACAATTTAGATAAGTGTCCAACTACATAAATGAAGAGCTCCTATGAGGTTCAAACAATGAGGAACAACCATCTAGATTCATACAATAGTCATACCAAGTCATGTAACCCGAGCAGTTTGTAAGCCATGTTTGAACATGGTGCACATATGTCTCTCTTGAGCTCCCTACTGTCCTCCCATACATAGGATAGTTAGGATTAACCCAACTAGTAGGTCCTATAGTCTGTTTCATCATCTTGAGCTCCATAACTAGTTCCACTATAATCAGATATGACATACCCATAGCCATCATAAGATTCATTTGAGTTAGTACTAGGTTTAGTTCCTATGCTCATAGATCCAAAACTGATCGCCATATCTAATCACTGCTCGCATAACTCCAAAAAATCTTTTGGGTTTCAATTTGCTTCAAAACTTTTGAATTTTTTTGGGTTTTGTTATAGTTATCGGGAAATATCGAGAATATCGGCAAAATATCGGAGATATCGCACTTATCGGGGATATATCATCGATATAGGTGAAGATATGACCTTACCCTCCAGTATCGGTATCGACAATTGAAAATATCGATATATCGGTGTATCGGCCGATATTTCAATCTTTGCCTACAACAACTCTAACTTTGTTAGGTAGACGAAGATAAACATTATTTTCCTACCATTCCGTTGCATATCTAGAATTGTGAAAAGGACTATGTTTTTGCGTTGGCCATAAAAAATCATAAGAAAAGTTTTATTCGAACCCATGTAATTAACTTCACTTTACACCTAATTTAAACTTAAAATATAAATTGTTTTTTTTTACCCTATTGTATAATTATCATCAAGTACAAAATGAAATTAACAATAATACTAAAATGTATCAATAAACTTACACTCAATAAGCAAACTTTACCATCACGCAACATTTATTCTACACCCTCATAAAGGAAAAAAAAAATCTTTTTGACGGATGGGTGGTGATTTTTAAGTTTTGAATCGTCTAACTACGGTATTAATAATTGATTTATGCACCTTTTTTTTTCATTTGATTTCAAGTGTTTTTTTTTTTAGTGTTGAGCGTATTGCCTGCATAAAAGGACTTTTTAGCCCAAGTATGTGTGTAAAACAAACGAAAGGAGAAATGGATTATGCCAATCAAGTTTTTTCATTTGAATTTAAGTTTTTTAACGTTTAGGAGTGTAAGGTTCTAGCCGTGCGATTTTCCCTGGTTGTAGCCGTCCATTTTTGTTTTTGTAATGCCTACGAAACTGTTCGGTTAGAGAGAGACTACAATATGTGAGTGATGAATTAGCCACATAAGCAAACAAGCATATTATCCTTTTTGAATAATCACTCACATATTGTGGTAAACATAATTCATTTGACTGCTCCCTTTACACCTTGAATGAGTAGCATAACATTTATTTTGGTTTTTTATTTTCTAAATGGGTGTAAAGATAATTTACTTATTGAATTGAGTTTGTGAAGGTAATTTAGGTAGCAAATTTGGGTTTAAAAAGACATCGATAGTTTAATTAGAAATAATATGAGTGTAGAGAATAAGTTGAATATGAAAAAAAATTATATGGATTCAAATAAAATTTCTGAAAATTATATTAGATAGAATTTACCAAAAGAAGAAAGTTCCTCCATTAAACAAACCCTGTATGACCATATATGTGGAAGGAAGACCAAACTCAAGCACATACACCATTTCATTTGACTCCCGAGGGATCATATATATATGGCACAATTGATTAACAAGGTTGTTAGTTTTTTCATGTATATATTCTTTTCTCGATCTCCACTTCTTTTTTTTTTGGTTAACAAGTTGTTGGTTTTTTCAAACCGAATCAAACCCTAATTATAATGAATTCTCCATATACCTTTCCTCATATAACGTAAATTAGAATGTTAAATGTTTGGTTACTTTAACAACGTTGGATGAACATGGATATTCATGTACATTCAACTGTGTTATAGACTTGGACTATCTCGATAGGAAGCAACAGTATAAGACTTCAGTTTTTCTTTCGACATTTCAAGTTATTTAATTGAAAATTGAAATTAATTGCAAACATTTCAAAATAATGAAAACTGAAAGTGATATCAAACGGACTCTCAAATAGTCATTTTATAATGCTTATCCACCTAAGACACTCTTATATCTCGTGTATCATATATGTTTCTTCTCTCTCATCGTGTAATAATGAGATAGATAAAAAAAAATGGTTGTGAAACATAACATATGCAAGTTTTTGTCCATCAAGCTATGCTACTAAAAGTTGGATTAAACTCGAGTACTTTTTTTTTTTGGGTAACATAAGGTGGGGTGGATCAACTCAAAGAATTATTACAAATATTTCTAGTCTTAGGGACTCCCATAATATCATCAAATAACCGAGTTGATCCAATCAAATCAGAAGATTCTTGAGTACTTAGTCGTATCTTTAAAAGTAAATCTCACTTTTCCTTCAAAAGTTGCACATATGAATGGATTTGCCTAGCCTAATTTCTCTCTTGTAGCAAGCCATTATTGGAAAAAAAAACTAAATTGGCGTGAATAGCTAGTCTCTAACTTAGAAGAGTGTTTGAGAAAATTTGGGTAAAAAAGGACTTTAAAAGTTGTTTTAGTTCGTCTACCGAAGGCACTTGTAGATAACTGAAGAAACTGGTGGCCTTACTTAAACATTAGGTATCGTATATATCTGACATAATTTAAGTGCTTCCCAGTTAGGAGTCGACACGCATCCATCCAAAAAGCATGCAACTGATGCTTGACGTCCGCTAGGCAATACAATGTAACCTAGAGGCCTAGACATTGTACAGTATTTACTATTTGCCAAAATATTTTTCATGAATGTTTGGTTTTTCGTCGTGCTTACTCACGTATGAAATCCGAAAAGTATGAGCTTCATCTTAAATTTATAATTTAATACTTTAGAGTCAAGAAACGAATCAACTACATAGAATCGAAAAATGGTGAGTCTCTTTTAAAAGTCAATAATTAAATACTTAAAAAAAACAAATCAACTAAAAGGCTAGTCGGTCGGATTCTTTTTCCTTAATTTCTCTACTTTTAGATTTTTTGATTCCTTCATTCTCCAATTTTTGCTAAAAGAAAGAAAATTTATTTCGGAAAAAAATGAAAAAAGTAAATAAAAAATGGATGATGCAGTGGAAAAGCTGGACCGTAGAGTGAAACCAGGCAAAACCCTCGTACGTATGGATGGATGGATATACGATACACAGAACACAACGATATTTAATACATGTTTGTATAGTGAACAGTATTAGCTTGTAGCTACAGGAAAGATAAAACCAAACACCAATACGAACACCCTTTTTTCAAGGGTTTCCATTTTCTTCATATTACCCTCATCTTTTTATCCCTTTTGGTATACCCTAAACACGCAGCCTCCTGAAAGAAAGTTTGTTTACCTCTGATCTTAACCAAGTAGAGAGAGAGAGAGAGAGAGAGAGAGAGAGAGAGAGAGATGGGCAGAGGCAGAGTTGAGCTGAAGAGGATAGAGAATAAAATTAACAGGCAAGTGACTTTTGCCAAAAGAAGAAATGGGCTGCTCAAGAAAGCTTATGAGCTCTCAGTTCTCTGCGATGCTGAGGTTGCCCTCATTATTTTCTCTAGCCGTGGCAAGCTCTATGAATTCTGTAGCAGTTTCAGGTATATATATATCTCTCTCTGTCTCGCTCTCTCTTTCTCGGTACACTGAAAATTTCTATACATTTTTTAATGTTAAGGATGCATTTATTTTACTTTGGATTTACGTATTTGATGAATGTCTGTGGCCTTTTTATTTTATGCCAGTGGCTGTAATGAGAAAAAATAAGTGGGTTTTCCCTCATTTTCTTTCTTCTTCTTGATTCATTCAGCTCAGATGTTGATCCATTCCAAGTAATCACTTTAAGCAAGAAGATGCTCTCTTAATTATCGTTTTTCTCATAATTAAAGATCTAAACTCTTTTAATTTCTCATCTTTCTTAATTTTATTTCTTGGATTTATGTACGTTATAGTAAAAGATAATTCATTAGGTTTTGAAACAATTGATGAATCAAATTTACTGGGTTGTTTGGTGGTTCACAATCTTAATTTTCCTATATAGTTTAAATTGATCTTAGTTTGATCTTTATATTTAATTAGTTTTAAACACTAATTTTCCCAAATTTAAGGAAATGGAGTTCGTAAATCTAATTAATATTGTTAAGTTGTGAAATTGTTAACCTATCGATATATATATGAAACGCTTAAAGTTTCCTAAAATTTAAAAATTTTGATTTCGCTTTTAGTATTTGCTACTTATAATATGTAGGATTCAGCTAATTTAAACAACTTTCCTGAATTGTGAACCATTTTGTAGACAGAATTGGTTTATTGATTTTTTTTTTATTTATTTTTTTTTTATTTTTTTACTATTTTTATGTGTTTGTTTTCTCTACTCTTTTAAAACCAACAAGATGAACACTTCGATTCATGGTGTTTTCCTGAAAAAACAATTAACAAGAAACTTACAGATTCTTTGATCATTTCATTGTCGTCACTTTTATTTTTAAGCTAATGGGAGAGACCAGTAATACACCGGTCACTGTTATGATCCGGTGCCAGGTTAATTTGATGTTTGATGTAAGTTAGATTTTGAGTCTTTATCGGGTTGAGTTCACTTTGTTGGTTTAGGTCCATTCACCGATTATACACATCTGTTTTTTTGTTATCTTTTTATTAAATTTTACTCAATTTTAAAATTAAATATAAAAATTAAATATTGTTTCTCCTTATTCCTGCTCCAAATTTGTATCTTAAAATTTTCTTATACCTCCATCACATATTAACTGTATTAACTAATTTATGTTGCAGGTACTATACACACACACACACACACACACACACTAGTATGGATTTATAAATGTATAGAAGATGAAAATTCTTTGAACTATTTTCATGGATGATAGGAAGACTAATTTTTATTTATTTTTTGTAGATACCTTTGTCACAGGTTATCAACTTATGATATAGGTGTTATATATGATGACATATAGGTATCAAAGCTAGAAAGCACATGTCGTAGAAAATTCCAATTTAAAGTATCAAAATTGTTAGCAATATCAACTTTTATGCCCATGTACCACCAAAAGCCTTTTTGTCCATAATATCGAACCTTTATGAAACCAGCCCAATGCAATTAAAAATACGTTTACCTTTCAAAAATGCTATTTAAGAAGGAGAAGGAATGCGAGTGACAATAGAGCCAAGCCGATATGCAAGAATTTTAGGAATACTTTTGAACAGAAATGATGCTTATAGTTTCTGTCATCAGTGCTCAAGTAATTTGCATATTTTTCCTACTTTTGTTTAATTACTCGTCTACGATTTATGGTGATATGTTTTGGCTAATTGTTTACAACATTACACTGAAAGTACTTTGCAAACATTATGCTTCTTTATATAGTTTTAATTATTATATATGGTTTCAAATGGACATGAAGTCAAGATTTACTAGAAAAATGCCAAGCTAACTTTGGGTTCCAAACTTCTTTTTAAGTAATATAAGAGTTGCCATCCTTTATTTTAGGGTTCGAAGCAAGCAACTAACAATATACATACATGAAACTGAAAACTCAGAGGTTCTCGTTTTTAATGTAGTACTAATCCAAAGTCGCTTTAAGCCAATATATATACGAGGTATACTGACAGACAACTTAGCACTGGATAGTAGCTTATTCATGTTATCTCAACTATTAAATGGTGTTGAACATTGTATTATGGATTAATTCAGTTTAGCAAATGTGTGTGTTGAGATTTAGAAGATTTGTTCGAGGAATTTTCTGTTGATTGTAATTATAAAAATTAAACTGGTTAGGGGTTGAAGGACGGGGAGTGATACCTTCTAATTTTTAGGAGAGGAAAGAAAGTAGGCTTCAATAGTATGTCAAACACTAAGTTGTTAGAGATAGAATCTCACATAAATGGATGATGGGCTTTGTACGAGCTTATAAGCAAGCTGAACTACTCATCCTATTGTTATTGGTTAATTTTATGATGAAACCTCAACTTTCTTCATGGTATCTGAGTATTTTGTCCCACGTGCAAAACTCAATGGTCACGCGTGGTCCAAGTCACCTCGATTGTGTTGTTTATGTGTTAGGTTTGAAAATTTGCCACACATTAGGGGCATATTGGGATAGAATTCCACGTTGATGGGAGGATAAACCTTGCGTAGGTTTATAAGTAAGTTGGATTATTCCCTAAATTACAAATTAGTTTTAGGTTGAAATCTCCACTTTGTTGACAAGCCCTAAGAATTTTGGCTCTCTAACCATGATAAATGAAACACTATAAAAGAATTTGGAAATGACCAATTACAACCTCTAATATGATCTTTTTTCATCTTGACAAATTTGGAAATGGGAAGAAATGGTTTTGGAAGATGGTAGAAAGAAAAATTGGAAGAATTGTAGGATAAAAGTGAGTTTTGTGTGGAAGTTTGAACAAATACATAGGTATTTATAGAGTTTTTTGGGTGAAGTTTGAGTTAAATAATTTTAGCCGTTGGATTTAAATTTGGACCATTAGATTTTTTAATTTTTTATTTTTTTGATCATATTTGATCTCAGCTATTGAATTCAATAAATTTATAAATATAAACTAAAAAAAAAAGAAATTTAAACTGGACCATTAGATCAACCAACAGCCTATTTGAATTATAGTCGTAGGATTAGAAAAAAGAGCCGTTAGGCTCATTAATGCACCAGACAAGCGAGGGACAAGTCCACATGGGTGGGGTTCGGCTACTGCAGCGCCTGGCGCGTGCATGAGTACGTAGGGCTTGGGCGAATAGGTTTCACCTCCGATTTTCCACTCTTACATGTGGAGCACACCACTAATCCATCCCACTTGTTTGGCCGGTATTTGGCCCAATTTTAGCTTCTAACCTATAACCCCAAATTGCCCCAAGGGTTGGAAGGAAATTGGTTTTTTTTGTGGTGTTTGGGGTGGGGGGGGTGGGGGGGGGGGGTTGGTGGGGGCGCGCGGGGGGAGGGAATAGAAGGTAAATTTTAAGACTTACTCCAAGAGTTGAAATTGGTCTACAAAAATATGTGTTTGCATATCTAAAAGTTAATATTTTTAAATTTTTTTGCTCTCTTTTTCTGAATCTACATGTTTTATTAATTGTGGGTTCAATGATCTATTAATTATTCTAAAAGTTTCCAATCCTTTTATTTTTTATTTTTTGTGGTTAAAATGTGATCTTATTGTGATTTCCAATTGTTCATCTTAGCATGATGAAAACGCTTGAAAAGTACCAAAGTTGCAGTTATGGTTCCCTGGAAGCCAACCTACCAGCCAACGAGACTCAGGTAGCTCCTTAAGCTGGAGTACCATATTATGAGAACCAAAACAATCCAACCTTATCGAATCATTTCAATCAGTATTTGTTTGCGTGTATAATATTAAATTTTGTTGATTCGAGAAACCTAGCTAGAAACTGTTGACCTAATGACAAAATTGTATTTAATTTGTCCCCAAGCAGAACAGCTATCAGGACTATTTGACGTTGAAGGCAAGAGTTGAGGTTCTCCAACAATCTCAAAGGTATCACAGTTTGAATGCATAATTTTCATTAAGTAATTTTTCTCAGCTTCCAACTTATTGGTTTGAGGTGAATGTTTTGTGTCCTATATCGTGAAGAAAGTTGAGGTTCTACTATAAAACCAATAGAAATATGGAGAGTAGTCTAACCTCTTATAAGTTCTTGTAAAGTTTATCCTTTTATCGATGTGTGACTCTTTTACCTTCATATCCTCACACATCGTTCTCCAATGAGCTAATATTACCTAATCCTCTATTTTATGTAAAATTAAGTAGATTGATGACGTTTTTTTTTAATTACTATTAGCCTTAAAGTGAGGGAAACAGTTTGAAACTATTAAAATAATTTAGGGTGCAGATTAATGACGTTCTTGAATTAACTAATATTGCAGAAACCTTCTTGGGGAAGATTTGCAACCCCTGAACACAAAGGAGCTTGAGCATCTTGAGCATCAGTTGGAGACCTCTTTGAAGCAAATTAGGTCAAGAAAGGTAATTAATCAATTAATTAACTCAAAGAGTTTTGGTTTCACCTGCTGAAGCATGTTCATGCATGAAACCCTAATTTGTATTTCATAAATAAGGATTACAAATTTAGAAAGAATCATGTATTATTAATTAGTCCTTTTGAAAACACGTGGCTTAACCCTAACAAACCTGGCCCTTCACTCCTTGAGCTATATGTGCTTTTATGTGGATATACTGAGGCATATAAATTTTATAGGTTATCTTCCTATATATGATTAGAATACTAGCTAGAATTATTCATTCCAACTAACACTTCATTGTTATGCATTTTCAAGAGATCGAAATGATTTTCTGATAATTTCTTTTTGCCACTTGTTATTGATCAGACTCAGTTTATTCTCGATCAGCTTTCTGATCTTCAAAACAGGGTAAGTCATTAACTAATCTCGTTTTTGCATTGATCGATACTCTTCCACAATATACGCATGCATGATATCACCTTTCTACGTGTGTGTGTGTGTGTGTGTGTATTTCATATCTGGCCTTGCCTCTTGCTCCTGAGCAGGAACAGATGCTAGTTGAAGCTAACAAATCCTTGAAGAGGAAGGTAAACAAATAAAGCCTTGCATGAATTATTCATCAAATTTATTTAGGGTTGAAACCCTTCAGCTTTTTCCCCAAGTATATGTTTATATACATGTACGTATAATTAAACGTATAGCTGGAAGAAACAAGTGTGCAAGCTCCAGAAGGAATGGCATGGGAAGCTGCTGGCCATGACCACAACTACAACATTCAGCTAACTCGGCTTCCTTCCCACTCAGAAGCCTTCTTCCATCCCTTGGAAGGAAACAACTCCAGTTCCCAAATTGGGTAACAAATTTCACCCTCCTAAAAAATTAACTCCATTAATTATTTTTGTATTAATCAACAACACTTGCTTTTGAAACTTATTTACGATAACATTACTGCAACTCAAGCGTTGTCTCACTTAACCTTTGAAACTCAAATTGTGTTATTCAAAGAGTTAAGTGACACAATTTAAATTTTAAAAGGATTAAGTGATAAATTAGCCTTCTTTTTAACCATTTTTTTCCTTTCTCTCTTTTTCTGACTACTTTGCATAAACTCACTGGTTATGCAGATACACCCATATGGGTTCAGATAATGAAATGAATGTTGGAAATCCGGGCCAGTATGTTAACGGATTTATTCCTGGGTGGATGCTTTGACTTTGATTATGCATATAATATCCATCGTGACATATAATATACATACATACATATATATATATATATATATATATATATATGGAATAAAATTAGCAAGGGATCATGTTGCTCAAGCTATTATTTTATTTTCTGTTATGATCTTATAATTCTATGCAACTTGTAATGATTCTTGAAACAATAAGAATATATATATATATATATGTGTGTGTGTGTGTGTGTGTGTGTGTTTTGTAAGTTGAATAATGTCATTGAAAAACTTCTATGAAATGTATGAGACCTATTTGCATATATAAAGGTTTACAACCCTTCTTTTTTTTTTTTTTTTTTTTTTTTTTGGTCAAACAATAGCTTTATTAGATTAGAAGTTAGATGGTTTTTTAGCCAAAATAGTCCCTGAAAATTGCCTAATTCTCACTATGGTCCCTGAGATATGAAATCAATAGAAGTAATCCTTGAGATTGTCCACCATCAATATTCAATCATTTTGGTCATTTGGTGAAAAATTATGTTAAATAATAATCAAAATGATAAAATTACTCTCAATATAATAAACAATAGGCCAAAATGATTTGACAAAAATTGACGGTATTTTTGTCATTGTATCCTTATTTTATGGAGATTTTTTCACGGAATGAACAAAATGATTGATTGCGGACAAACTCAGGGACCAATTCTATCGATTTCAATTTTCAGAGACCAAAGTGAAGAGTTATTCAAATCTCAAGAACCATTTTTGCTAAGAAGTCATGTTAGGTTAAAGAGTCAATGAGTTCGAACTCAAGTCATGATGCAAAGGCAACTCCTTTCTACCATTTTGGTAAGGGGCCACTTGCTTATATCTGAAATTTGTCAATCCTTTCGGTCACAGTTTGTATCTCAAATTTGCCAATTGCTACTCATTTTTTTTTTTTTTTTTTTTGCATTACTGACACAAAACAAACGCATGAGTACCCAATGTCCTTATGAAACATTGCACATGATCATAATCTGGTTGTAATCTTTTCACAACAGCGAAAAAGTTAATAAAAGTTCAAATCTTTCCTTCACGGTGATCAAAACAATGACATGCATAGAAAACCAAATAATGAGAAACCTTGGGCCTCGGCTCCCAGACTTACTTGTGGGCCCAAAGATTTTGAGAAAGCTTTACCTAGTGGTCAAATTAAACTATTGGTCCTCTCAATGCTCTCAGCCGGGAAAAATTAACTACGGTATCCGGTATCCACTGATATTCTAAAATGATATTTTTGAACAGAATTTTGCCCTCCCTAATGACCCCACATCAGTTATTGTTACCTACTTAAAAGATTGGCTTTAGGTGGATATGATTTCCTTCATAAAGCCCCGTTGAACACATGTTTTTTTTAATTGAGAACCTCCTCCTCAGGGTTGAAAAATGCTTATTGTTGATGGGTGTCGTTAGGGGGTGGCCAATTTCATTGAGAACCTCAAAAACGCATTGAGGGCATGGGTATCGACTATCTAGTTTTTGTGCTAATTAATCTTGGTCAAGGTGAGAATCTATGTGTTAAAGTTTGAAGTGTTTTTATTGAGCTGCAACTTGCGTGAAATAATAAACTAAGAAGATTATAGTGGAATCAGATTTTGCACTTGCAATACAATTGATTTTAAGTGCTAAAATAGATAATCATCCTATGGGAAATTTGGTATTGAATTGTCGTGCTCTTATGCACAATGCACCAAAGCTAGTCTTGTGAATTTGTAATATTTACTGTGAAAAGAATTTATTGTTGATGATTTGTCCCGTTTGGGTTTATTGTGCAGTTTGGATCTAGTCTTTTTTGAGCAAGCTCCTCCTTCTTGTCGTCGATTACTAGTTCCAGATATCGCTGATGTTTAGTGGCCTCGTAGTATTATTATGTAATCAGTATTTTCTTTTGGGTTTATGCCTCTGTGACTCTTCCCAGCCGCCGGAAGGGATGAATAACCGTGGCTTACCACTAGTTGTCCCCCTTTTTTCTTTTTTCTTTTTTCTTTTTTCTTTTTTTTTTAATGTATGCAACAATATATTTTTACACTAAGAGGAAGAGTTCAGCTAAGCCACACAATGGGCAGCCTAATTTAGTATTGAATTCGTCATCCACGAGATTCAAACATAATATCTCTCACTTACAAATAAAGAGGAATACTACCAGATCGTAATAGTGAGTCGCAGTTGTTCTTCTTTTAAGAAGAAAGGAAAAGGAAAAGAAAAAGAGAATTTGTGGGCCATAGAATACAATTTTTTAGCTCTAAGCAATAACATAATATTAAGAAGCAAACACAAAAAACTTAATATATTAAGAAGATCGGCAAGTCAACCTCATTATTTTTCCCAACTTCCAATGGTGCATTAGAACCATAATTTATTCTTTTTTCATGGGTGGGAAACACAATTTTCAACACAACAATTTGGTTTTATTTTTAAAGAGTTTTAACGAAAAACTCACGGTATTATTCACTTTAACGAAAAATTATATTTTTACACTAATAAGTCAATTCTGGTATTATTCACTTTACCCTTTATTTTGTCCTTATCATTAAAACTCAAAATTTTCAAGTCCTTTTCATTAGTTTATCTTTATTTTTAATCAGGGGACAACTTATTTGTCCAGCTTCTTACTTAAAAGACAATGAAAGACATTTCCCTTTCGGAAATTCCAATATTTCAACCGTCGATATCGACATAAAATTAATTTGGATCCCTTCGTTAACAAAAGTGCTTGTCTCTTAGTCAAACTAATGCAACCAAATAGTTGAGAAGACTGGCCATTTGTCTTCCTATCAAAGAAAGATATGTATCAATCCATTATCTTGTAATTTGACCCTGTCTTAAGTCACAATTACACTGATGTGATTTGATAAGGGAAAATGATAAGCATGTACTCATTGGGAAATTACTTTTGTGTACTAATTTTCTTGTACACTCATATTTATTTATAATTTATTTCTTATAAATAAATATAAGTATGCATGAGGATAAAAACGTGCAGAAATCATTCTTGTTTGAATAATTCTGTTATTGATATACGCATAACATATGTTACAGTAATACATGTGGCTGCAATCCAATGATCAGGCTCCTTATAGTTCTCCCAACACGAGATTCAGCAATCACGTTAACTTGCAAATGTGGTTTCAAATTTAGAAAGAATGTCATTTGAGAAACTATTGTTTGGTACACGGCCTCATTGTATAATCAATCCACTTATATTATAGTATCGATCCAATTATGCCAGGTGTTTGTGTTTCAAGAGAGATTTTTCAATGTGAACGGAACATGTGATGGTATACCACGTGTCACTATACAAATAATGAAATATATGTGTTAAAAAGTATATAACTTAAAAAATAAAATTTCTCAAAACTTATATAAAAATACATGATAGTACCATTTGTGTTTCCGTAACAATGAAAAATTTCTCGTGTTTCATCCCTGTAAAAGTAGTTTTTCACTGTTAAACTAGTTTTTCATATATTGTGAAGGCAGCAGCATGCAGCTGTTACCAGGTTTTAGGTTTGGAGTTGGACTGCTTTTATTTTATTTCCTTTTCCAGTCAGAATCTTCTTTTCACCTGAATCGGCCAATCAAGAATGGGGTCAGAAGAAAATAAAAACGACAAGATACCTGACCCTTGTGTGCAAATTGGGTTGAGCCAAAGCCCACGTGAAAACGAAACCCTAATTTAATTAATCGACTGCTGAATGTTGGCAGAGAAAGAGAGGGCCACAGAGGGCAGAGACTAAAACAAAGCCAGAAACACACATAAAAACACATGTACAAGACCTTCCCACTGATCATATTTTTACTTTTCTCTTCAGGTTATTGTTTAAGTACGTGCTTACTCGATTTTTGCCATGGCAGAAAAGCGTTCACCAAAATAGTAACATCTTTGCGATGCATGTGTGTCTCTCTGTTGGTGTTTTACAGTGAAAACAGGACTACACCAGAACAATCAACACTGTATCACAGATTCCTATTTCGGAGAGGTTAATTATTACTTTACCCAACAAAATGCAATATTAATAAATAATATACATAGTTGAGTATAATATAGAAAAAATAATTCAAAACCATTTTTTTTCCTGCATGCAAAGCCCTCGTGAAGAAGTTGCATTTAGCAGGAAGGTTAAAATGATAGTAAATCTAATATTACGTGTTTTAAGTTTCTTAAATAATATTGCATGATTTATTTAAAATATTATCATGTTGGTGTTCTTGTTTCATAGAAGTCCTTTCCCTTCTCTTGATAATTCATTGTTATTTTGGAAAGCAATGAAGTTTTTGGCGGATTTGTTAATTTTGGTGCAATGAATAGTAGTTTTACTTGGTGGGACTTGGTACTTGATTTTGCTGATGCGTCTTATAGAAGAGACCGTGTCGGACTTCCATTCTTCCGTTCGAGGTTATGAGGAGAAAATTGTTGTTGCGGAGGTAGATACTAGCAGTGAAACATGAGCAGCAGAATTATGGAAAATCAATTTTAGGTGACTGAAGCTGGAGAATTCTTAAACTAGAATATATGGTTTTCGTTAATTGTTTTTAGCGGGTATTGGCATAGTCCCCCCCACTTGTCTTACTTTTCCTTTTTTTCTTCATATTATTAATAAAAGGAGAAATTAGGTTCTCATCCTTCCTTTGGCTACTCCATTGATTAAAATCCTATTCATTTTCAATTTTAGATCAAGGTCCTTGGGTATTAATAACATCATTAATTATTTCAATAATATTTTTTTTTATTTCTAAATATATTCATTTAATGTTAAAAATGTTACAATTAGTATATTTATATTTATGACTACATTTTTTATCATATATTTTTAGTTTTAGTTTATACCCATTTTTAATTTGTCATTCTTTTTTAATTTGTACCAATTTTCTTTTCAGTTTTAATTTGTACCCATATGTTAATTTCTTTTTGTGCCCATATTTTTTTAAAGTTTATTTGTGTTTGTACCCATATATTTTTTTCATTTGTACTTTTTATTTTGCTAAATGTACCCATGCTAATTATATGTACCCTATTCATGTAAAAATTTTTAATCTTAAAATGTACTCATTCTTAAATTTACCAATTTGTTAGATGTAAAATGTACATTTTTTTTATATAAAATCTATTCAATTTTTTTTTTTCTAATCCATTTTAAACTTATATGGGTAAATTCTTTTTTCTTTGATTTTAAAATGTATCCATGTCAAGTT